CCCCAAAACCCCAAAACCCCAAAACCCCTAAGTAAATAAACAATAATGACAAGAAATTATAAAAATAAATGCTGGACTTCCACCAGAAAAAATGAAGCATCTAACAAATTTTTCTGAGTTGAGGCTTTGGAGGATGCCAAGCCTAAGGAAACCAGACCCAAGGAAGCCAAGTCCTTACCCTCAAAGCAGAGCAATATCAAATACGGCGTGGAGAACAGAGCAAAGAAACCCCAGAACACAGACAAAGCGAGCAGCTCCAGCAAAAGCCAGGAAGCCAACAAGAGGCTCCAATTTACTCACTTCAAGGGCTTTGAAGTCACTGTGGTTCCTTGCGACTTTGATGAAGAACCTCGAACTTACAGCTTGGACACGAATCGGTTCAAAAATAATTTGAGTTATTTCTTCCGGTCTAATCCTCTAGTTGTCAAAGACATTTTCAAGTGAACATCGCCAGACATTGCTAACCACTTTGCATTATTTAAAAAGGAAATTCCAGATCAGCCGGAACTGAACATCCAGAACAAAGGCTTCCAAGTCTTTTTGAGAAGTCCCGCGGAGAATACCTTCCAAAGAATAGAAATGCTAAATTACTGAACAAACTGTTTGACAGCACTTTTTATGGAACAGTGGTCATTGCAATGTACACACCAGATCCAAACTTCAAGTTCCATGACTTCACACCGAAGCAGCTTGAAGACCTAAACAAAGCCCATCAAGTTGGAGTTGAGGTGGATTACCTTGATTTCACCAACTATGTAGAGCCAGGACTGAATTCAGAGCCCAAGAAGCAAGTGGAGCCACTCAAGCCCTTCAGTAGTGAGACTTTCAAGAATCTCCGCTCGCACTCGCAGAAGAACGCATTTGACAAAAAGTTTTTTGAAGAGTTACTACCTGTGAAACCAAGTTCTCTCGAGAACTCAGTGGGGCCTTCCAATTCCATGCCAGAGTCTCCTCTTGAATCGTCTCAGCAAACTGAGGAGTCTGACCAGAAGAGTCTGCATGCCGCTCAGCAAGAAGGAGAAGATGGTTGCTCTCCGACTCCAGACACAGTGACTCCAGAGGTTGCTCAAGAAGAGCCTAAGCAAGCGCCCAACAAGGATGAAGAAGAGCCTGCCAAGAAGCCTGTTGTGAAGACTCCTGAAGAAATTCTGAAGCCAGGTTTGTTCAACTTCGAAGCCGAACTCGGAGATGCCTTGAGCTCCGAGTTATTCAGCTTCAACTATACGAACGGATTCTTAGGAGGTTGCGATGAAGGCCTCAAAGTCATTGTGGGCGATATATCAAACATTAACTAAAAACAGCAAACACTTCAACAGGGAGTATCTAAAGGGCTGCCTCACAGATCGAGAGACCCCATGGGCTGCTTTGATGGCTTCAAACTGGTAGTGCCGATCGCTTCAAACACTTCCAAATGGTTGTAGCATCATCCAGCATTAACAAAGAGTCCCAGACTTTCAATTAGTGGTTGGATCCTTGTCAAAAGAGTCTGACTTATATTTTGGTTCGAATCCATCTTTAGTTGAAGAGGTTTTCAAGTGAAGCCCCACAAATTTCAGTAGAAACTTTGCATTGTTTAGAAAACAAATTCCATCCAACCCAGATCTGAAGACCAAGAACAAAGGCTTGCAGATTCTGTTCCAGAAGTTCCACTGAGAGTACGCTCACAAGAACGAAAACGCAGCAGTTTTAACTGAACTATTCTGTAGAGTTTTCTATGATACAGTTGTCATTGCAATGTGTACACAAGAACCAAATTTCAAGTTCCATGGCTTCACACCGGATCATCTCGAAGAGTTAAACCAGGCTTTCCTTGCTCGCAAACATGAAGAATCTGCAGGAGTTGCATACTGTGAGGAGTTTAAGGCAAAGCAGCAAAAACATCTCAAGCCTCCGAAACTGTTAGGCAAAGGCACTTTCAAAGTTTCACCTAAACTTTACAATCCGGTCAAGTTGAGCAAGAACATGTTTGAAGATACTGGAGTCGTCCCTCACAGCACTGGGAAGTCACACAAGTTCAGCAGTTCCATGCCAACATCGCCACCTAGATATAAAAGGAGTTTACAGAGAAGCGAGGTCAGCACATCAAGCAGGATTCAGAGCTTCACGAAGAAACCAAATGCAGGTTGAAAGAGGGTGAACTTGCAATAGCAAACACAATGGCGAATTTCCACCTCACTATGCTACTTTTGAAGGAGACGACTGCTCCAAAGAGTCTAAACTCAATTTCAAATTGATATAATTTTATTCCTCAAAATCATCATCTGAAGAAATCTCTCCATTAATTGGATATCTAATGGTTAGAGTTCCTATCCACAACCAAGTTAGAGCCAGTTTTGAGGTGGAAACTTTCTTCGCCTTCAAAGTCATCACCACACTCATCATATTGCTCTTCATTTCAGAGTCTTACAGGTTGCCTTAACTTTTGGGAGATACACTATATATTTGACTGGCGAGGCTAGAGATCAGACCAAGAACTTACTTTGTGGAGATATCACCATCAAGACTTTTGAACTCCTTGATTTGGTGTTTCGTCCATGGACGTTCTGCTCTCTTCTCTAAACTTTCGGCTACTTGTTGACTTTGATTCTTAAGACAGAATTTTGTATCCCATCACTTGTTCCTTTTCAAAGTTAAAGTTATTGAGCTTTCTTCTTAGAGGCTGCTTTTCTTAGAAAACTCTTTGTAGAACACTCTATCTGCTTTATTATTTTTCTGGCTTTGTTTTCTCTCAGGTGAATTTTTAATGTCTCAACAATAAGATATTGTGAATTAATAAAAAAATGTTCATTCCCAATGGAAGTTACCATAAAATTTAGTTACAGTCAGATTTCATCTCTCAAAATTCAACTCATCAATTCATCAAAATTTAGCTCTCCGAAACCCACGAACCTCCATTTCAACACCATTATTTCTGAGATGTTTGTTCTTCGTGTTCTTCTCTCCTACACTTTTGTCCTGAATACTTGCTCATGGCCTGATTCCTTGTTATCTCTCAAACAAATAGCAGGCAAGTTTTGGCCAAATTCTGCTTATTTTGTCTCCATTGTAATGAATTCATCGCCACCGCTACAAAAGCTAGGGTAGACTTGAGTGCAGACATTTCAAAGACTCAATGTCACTCACCATTTAGAACCTGACCCTCAAACTCAGACATTCTTGTTGCGAAATCACCAACCAAAGACGACGATGTTGGTAAGTTCACGGGATCTTCTGATGAAGACGAAGGCAAAGAGTCTTTCGGCCTCAAGTACTTGATGTTGAAAGAAGGAATCCGCAGGAACAAAAAGACCATGGACATGAGTTCAGGCATCGAGAAAGGAAGTCACAAGATGTTTAAGTAATCCAAATTTATGCAATTGATTCAACACTCCACTCACAACCAGGGGTTTTGGGGTTTTGGGGTTTTGGGGTTTTGGGG